TAATGTTTTTGTTGATAGGAAAACAGGTTTTTATTCATAGGAATTACTCTTCTTTTTGATAGGTATCCCCAACCCCAGCCGCTCCTCCGTCCCGTCGGCTCCGTCGGCTCCGTCGCCGGCATGCGTGCCGCCGAGGTGCGGGGCGTGAGCGCGGCAGGCCGGGCGGCCGGGGGACCAGCCTCGGTGCCATGAACGAAAGAGACGTCGTATGCAGGCTTTTAGAGGAGCAGGCAACGATGTTCAATAAGCTTCTAAAACCACTTCTTGAGATTCGAACCCCCATCTGTCCTCGTTCGACCGTGAGTTCCACGTCTTGCATAAATCCTTTCAGCAAGAAAGGATTACACGTGGTTCATCTGACGCCTGGTTCTCGTCCCGCATGCCAACTTTCTCACTTCCCCCCTCACGCAAGGACCCCGAACTTGCCATTGGCCAGGCTGTTGTGGTACTGCGCCGCCGCCAAATGCACGCGCGCCTGCGTTGCATGGCGTGACTCGGGGAGTTTGGGGACCCTAAGTGAAGACATACCCTCCGGTCGTTGCGCAGCGTCATGCGGGAAATGACCACGCCAGCAGCGTCACGCATGGTGTTTGGACAGGTTGATGTGCATTGTGCCATTGCATTGGAAACATCAAACTGTTTGAACCTCCTCTTAGTGCAGTCCAAGCGCCTATAGGCACACTGGCTCTCCGTGTCAAAAAGGTCATGGTGAAATACCTACGGCCCCGCCCCGCCTCCACAAGATCTAAATCAGCAACGTCGCTCCTGCAAGGGCTGGGAGGACCGGCGGCTCTCGGAGCAGGAGTGTCCAGGTAGCGTGGCTCGCGCGTCCAGGTGTGGCAGCTCTCGGAAGAGAGTTGAAAGCACAAAGCTGATGTCATTCAGAACTTCTACCCTCCACCAACTGATGCCGAAAAGAGAGTGGCACAAAGTCCCTGGAGTGGCGAAAACCCACATGCCCCTATGAAGTCAGTTGGGCTGCTGGCGTTACCAGCGTTCATTCTCTCAAAATGACCCACCTGTGGTGTTGTGGAAGAGATCCTGGTGCCATCTGACAACGACAAGGTCCATTTCATCTCTCCTCAACATTGGGTGCTCAAGGGTTCATAGATGTGCCATTTCGTCTTCCCAGTTTCGTAAAACAAAGCTGTTTTTACACCGAATGTCCCGCAAACCAAATTCTGCGAGGAAAAATACACCCAAAAACCAGCGCGATTCCATCCCCTCAACTCCTTGCCGGGACCCGGGAAGATGTTGCGGGTCTGATGCCCCTCCTCCTCCACCTCCCCCATCTGATCTTGTCCTCTCGTCCGCCATGCATCCTCCGTCCGTGCCACGTCCCGAAGCTCATGCCTTGGCTCGGTGCGGTCTCGGGCTGTCGGACCCACCTACCGAAAGCTCCTGCTGGTCTGAGAATGAACATCTCGTTCGGAGTGTTCGGATTGTTCCCCAAGGAGTCTGGAGTCTGGACTCGCTGGGAACAATCCAATTGATCCAATCCTGATGGGTCTGGGAGCCGCGGCCAAAGGTGCGGAAGTCTCACAGTCGGGCCGTGCTGTCGGACCCATCATCGGGCCGCCCGTGCTCTTGGACCAAAGGTGACCAAATGTACCAAGATTGTTGCCTGAGATCAGATTGAAGCAGTGAATCAAGCGAATGACCTTCAACAAGGCTCTTGGACAGGTGAACCCAAGAGAGAATGATCACAACTTGCTCCTCAGATCTTCAAAGAGCTCGGGTAGTTCATGAAAATGTCATTGGTTCGATGATGTTGTCCCCCCCCAACTGCCGGGGTCAGCAGGTGCAGGGATTGATGCCAGCTTGATGCCTCGGCTTGATGACTTAGATCAGGCTTTTTCAGCAAATCCAACCTCCACTTCGGCCGAGGGCTTTGCTCAAGAGCCCCTCCAGCAGATCGGATCCAGGCCGGGTGCTTTCTTCATTCAAGAGCCAAGGTTCCACATGGTTCCATGGTTCCGCATTGCTGCTCACAGTTCTTGTGGTAGATGAGAAGAAACAAAGACAAACGATTCTTTGGTCGGCCCATGTTTCGAAAACAAAGTGGCAATGACGATTCTAGGAACTACTAGAGTTCCTGTACCACATGACCAGGGCTATCCACTACCTACTGAGCTCCAAACCAAAAACCTGTGTAGGCCAAGTAGTGGAAAGTGGTGACGAAAAAAAGCACTGGGGCCCAGTAGTTGACTGGGATAGTATCTCGACTGAACCGGGGCTGACATATCTCACCTTCAGTTTCTCTCAAAAAGGAAAGAAATGGAAGAAAGAAGAAGCTTCCAAAGAGCCACCTCTCAATCTTCACCACCTGGATTCACATAGCCCTGGGGGCCCCGGACGGCCGTTCTCATGGCGTTCGGAGCGGAGAAGGATGGTGCATGGTGGACCACCTGGTGGACTCCAAGCAGTTGAAGGACCTGGTCTGAGTGGACTCCGTCGTCGTCTGGTGTTGGATAGGTGTTTCACTTGGCGCACCTGCGGTCCGGGGTGGGCAGGTAGAGTCTGCAAGAGGTCAATGCTGCCATCATGCTATCTGAAAGAGATAAGCATGAGGAGCAGTTGCCTATCGTGCCGGTCATCCGAGCTTCATCTGCTACCTTCAGCGGCTGCTGCAATGGCCGGTTCTTTTTCAGCTGAAGCCATGAGAGGAACCCGGGCAAGCAAAGCTCATTCTGTGTGGCACATACTGGGCGATGTGCTAGCTACTCTCCTGCCAGCATCTCGAGGGATCTTTGATGTTTCACAAGAAGCTGTGGGTATGGGCAAACATAAACAAGAACAGCTTCTTGTGAAACATACCCATACCCATACCCATCCCAACTACTTGTGTGTGTGTGTTTGGCCAAACAAACCCTCAAAACGACTCACATTTGCTCTCGGTGCCCAGGCGGCTCCATTGAGCCGCCGGTACGAGCGGACACGAGTCCCACTGGAACTAGAAGTTCATTCAGTCCGACAGCCGAAGACCTGCCTCAGTTCACATCCAGCTAGTATCAGCTAGTTCACTGCTTCACCCCCAGGTTTGCCCCTCATCTTTGAAGCGTCACCGGGTCCTTGGATTCTGAAATCAAAGCCTTACTAGTAGCTTATTGTTTCTAATAGCTTCTTGTTACTACTAGTAAGGCACTTGTTACTAGAAGCGATGCACTTGTTACTAGTAGCTTATTGTTTCTATTAGCTTCTTGTTACCGTAGAAGTTCTCCAGAATTCTCTGATCGGATGTTGGCGGCCAACATGGCCGACCCTCTGCAGTCCTCTCCCGGCCCAAAGGACACACCCCCGCTGAGCCGCGAACAAAAGGCTGAGCTGAGCTGTTGCGAAAGAGCATCTACCCGGGTGTCTAAACAACTGGGGCGGTCTGTCTGGGAAGTATGGCAAATCTTACATTCTGTGAAGATCTAGAAAGTATCACTTAAAGTGTCCCCCTCTTTGCGCGTCATGAAACGCCCCAAAACCATCCAAACACCCTCAAACACCTCCAAAACTGCGCCCTCTGTCTGTCCCTTCCGCCTTCACCAAGCCTCCCTTCACCCCGAAGCGTCGGCTGCGTCTCACCTCCGCCCGGTCCCGTCCGCACCGAACCGTCCTCGCTCCGTGTGGCCCCGAAGGCGATCGTGGGCCGCACGTGTGGCGGGGGCACCGGCAGGTGGGTCTGGCGGACGGAGGGGACACCGAACCAGGCACAGGGACGCCTACAGTAGGGGTTTACAGATGCAATGTTAGAACTAAGTTATATATTGTTATATATATATACAGTAGATAGAACTGTTTTGTTGGCGGGGAGGCCATGGCGGAGACCCCAAAATCGACGCTGGGGCAATGATCCGAAGCTCCAACGTGGCGGCTGCGGCCGAGATTGCATGGTCACCAGCCACCCGACTTCTGTCACCAGCCGGCTTGAAACGGAATGAACCTCGCTTTGACCCGACTGACCGCCCTTGGACCACCGTGGCCGAAACCCGGGGAGTTGGACCGTCTGCCCAAACGGGACGGGTCCAATTCCGGACTAGACTTGAATCATTAACAAAACCAATCCCTGCAGAGATCCCCAAAGCCACATATATGAAACAGTGTCTTTTTCTGAGACGTGGTGACTGGATGTTCTTGTTTTGTTTCGGGAAAGTTGGGATCTGCATGCACCTGAGCGTTCGACTATATCATTGACACCCACCGGCCGGCCGCTTCGCTCCGAAGGTGTCCGAAGCGGCCAACGGCAATTGAACATTTACCAATCACAGAATCTTTGATGTTACTGCGACGTCCAGCATCTATAAACTCGAGGAAAACATCGGAAAACTCATTGGACCCCACACAAGTTCGAGAAACCCATGGGTGCGGGTCAAAACCATTCCAAATCCCGTGCACCCCACTTTCCAGCCCCAGCGGGCCAGAATGAGCTGCTTCGGGTGATTGAGCTTCGGGTCAAAGCCCATCCGCTCGCAGTCCCTTGGGCACCGAGCGGAAGCGCGGAGTCTCTCGCCCCAAAAAAACTTAAAATAGGACGCCCAAATACCGTGCCCATTTTACACATTGTCTAGAGCGGAATCCAAGAAAAAACAATAAAGGGAAAGATGACCTTCCCAGAACGACCTCCTCGGCCGGTCGCGGTTGGAATGGTTTGATGCTGGAGCGTCGCGAGGGTCGCCTTTCGCCGTGTCAAGGGCTATCTCGAGTTTGGAGGCTGCAGCATGTCTATAGTAACTATGGTCGTACTTGCCCTTGAACCCTTGGGTGCAGGTGTATTGGTAGCTGGCAGGCTCATGTGCAACGCTCAAGCAAAAGAGGCTGTCAACAACAATGTTCAAAACCTGTATGAACCGGTGGTCAACCAAGACCAACACAACGAGGGTCCAAAACCCTGCCAAGTCGGATGCAAACCGATGCAACCTTTTCACTCACCTCGTAGCTCCATGGCGCGTTAAGCGCATTCAAGGCAAAAGGACGTCCTGGGATTTGGGCCCATGCGATCCGTCGGTGGTCAATCATTCAAAGACCTGAGGTGACATCAAGTGGCTGTACCTGTCATGTTCGTCTTCCAAGACACCCCAAAAGTGTTGACCAGAGACGGATTGCGGGGCGACCTCAGGACTCTTGCGTCCGGCCTTCTTGAGTCGTTTCGAACTCGTGAAGCTGGGATCGTATCGAAGGGTCCATGATCCCTCAACCATGACCTTATCCAAGATCCCGGGAGGAAGTGGCTTCGTGAGCGCATCAGCGATCTGTGATTCGCTGTGCACCCACCACACAATCGTTGAATTCCGCTCAATGGATTCAAGGAGGCACAACACTTCCAAGGCGGTGTATTTGTCTTTCAGACCTGCACCGCTGGAGTTGAGGTCTCGCTTGATGAGCACATCGTACAAAGCTTTGGCATCCACGATCACCGCTCCACAAATGCGGCACACAGCAAGTGAAGGCTGCTTCAAATCAACCTGGATGCCACAAAACTCTGCCCAAGCCAGCCTAGTGAACATCAACTCTTGATCACATTCCGCCAGGGCTTGGGTCTCTGCGCTCAACGACGAACGAGCCTTTCGCTGCAAGCGAGCCGATCGCCATGACACCAGTGACAGCGGGCTCCTGGTGCCTTGCAACATCTTGGGTGACGCTGCGGCGATGACATAGCCTCCAGTGCTGCTAAGGTCCTTTCGGTTGGCCAATGCCGCATCCGACCAACCTAGGAAACAAACATCCACAGGATCGCCAACGTGCAACTGGTTCACACGCACTGACACATGGCGACCGTGGAATGCTTCACGCAGCAACTTGTTCGTGGCTCTCAATGTACCAACTGTTGCACTGCTGATCTCGCTTTGTAGCTGTCCAAGTCGGGCAGCAAGCAATGGTGAACTCTGGTTGATCCTCCATTGCAGGGCCCCCAACACACCGCGCAGCTGTGTCAACTCCTCTGCTTTCACAGGATCGTGATCTTGTCGGGCCTCGAACTCGATGGGTTCAATGCCCTCGATGAATTTGGAGTGACTCAAAACAAAGCTAAAATCTTCTTGCTCCGTGATCTGCAGGCCACAATGTGTGAAGCTGGAAAACTCCCAGGGCGACCATTTGAATCGACTGTAAAAGGATGTAATCTTGGCCACCCACTCTTCATTTGCTTCGTCGCCGGACACCAGGAAGTCGTCCACATGTGAGCAGACATATCCCAGCGTTTCCTGCCTACCCTCTGTGGTGGATTCCCCATTGGAAAACAACAAAAGCCACAAACACGGGTCGGTCCGGCTCTGAACAAAGCCAAGTTGCTTCAGCGTGTTCTTCACACACTGGAACCAAGATGCTGGAGCGTTCACGAGCCCGTAGCAGGACTTGATGACCTGCACGGCCTCACCTGCCTTCAAACCAAGTGCGGTTGCGAGCTCTGGAACAGGCAGTGCGAAGAGGTTCCGGTCGGCTTCCGAGGCCTCGCCCTGAAGGAAGGCGCTCTTCACGTCGCCCTTGAGCACTCGCCAAGCGCGAACTGACGAGTACTGCAACATAATGCCAGCTGCCTGGTTCTTCTTGTCATAGTCGGTGCGGCAGACTGAATGTCCTCCAGGTCCGGGTCCTCGTACCCGATGAGAACGATGCGGCCCTTAGCGGCTCCGGTGTCTTTGTACGTCAACACCCACCGCATGCGAACCAAACGGTCCTTGGGCACTGGTCCAATGGCCTTTCGAACGGCCTGTGCAGCAAGCCATTGGGATACCTCTGCATCTTTGGCTGTCTTGAAGAGAGCCTTTTTCTCCGGCGAGAGTTCGTGCCATCGACCTTCAGCTCCTTTCACTTTCTTCACAAAGAAGGACAGGGCGTCCCTCTTCATAGATCGCCATTCGCTGGCTTTCACAGGCAAAGAAAGCTCGATCTCGCAGGCCAAGTCACCAAGGCGAAACTCGCCTTTCGAGGAAAAGAAGCTTTGCGCCAGCAGCTCATCGTCGGTCTCAGCTGCCAGCTTCGTCCGCTGCTTCTTGAACAGAGGCTGCTCAAACAGCTCGGGCATGTTCCTGCCCTGTGCCATGGCTTCTGGGTCATACCCAGGATCACGGATGACGCGCCCGAGATCTACCGGGAAGCGTGTCCCACTTTGGGGTCCGCTAGAAGGTGCACTACCGCTACCCAAACCGGGGGTTCCAGGGTTTACGGAAGAAGGTTCCCGAAAAACATCCGTCTTCTTTTCTTCTTTCGTTCTTGATGCCTTAGCCTTCTGACGTGCCCCTTCGTCGGCCGGCATCTCATTCACACTTCTTTTTGGGGTCTGCATCATTCGGACATCTTCTGGGGTCCGCTGGGCATCTTCTGGGGCCCGTTCAAGCCTAGGCACTGAAGAGCTTCTCCGAGGTCGCGGCGTTGTAGGTGCACCACTTTCTGGACCAACTGACCTGGGTCGCATGGTGTCTTTGACGCACCCTTTGAGACCAGATCCTCTGGCAGGAGGTGATCATCCAAGATCTCGTACTCAAACAGGGTGGCTGCCAGGTCATGGAAGTCCAGGAAGCTGTAGGTGCCTGCATTCCTTCTGCAATGAGGCGCTCTCTCTCTCTCTGAAGCGTGTCGAAGCTGTTCCGGGGAGCACCGTTTCAAGCGACCGTGGCTCACTATCCAGATGATGCTACTTGGGCGTCTCTCGAATCCCTTGGCATCAGTTCGTGTTTCTGAAGCCAAGACACGACCATAGGGCCGTACCATCTCCAAAGTTTGTGAGCGAGGCGAAGATGAGTTTGAGGCTGAGCTGGCGGCTTGATCCGTTTAAAATAAACTAGATCTCCTGGCAAAAATGTCGTCTTTCTCCGCGTCTTGGCATTTGAAGCTCTCGAAATAAGTTCTCGAGACTGCTGCTGGAGAAAGGATTGCTGTGCCAAGATCCGGAGTGAGAGGTTCTTCATCATGCTGGAGCCAGGTACTCTCACTGAGGTCCAGTACGGATCGTCGTACCCATTCTCATGGAACCGGCCAGTCACCGTCGGCTGTCTGCCGAATGCCCACTGAAATGGCGAGTAGCCCTCGATCTTCTCGAACTGGTTGTGAGCCTGACACGATTGAACGGCGGCCTGCAAAGGAGTGCAGTCACTTCCCTGTAGAATCTGGCGGATGGTGGCCTTGATGGTCTGGATGGAGCGTTCCACGATGCCAATCTGACCATGATCCTCCGCCGCGCATGGAAGAAGTTCGACTCCTCTTTCTTCAGCCCATAGTCCGAGTGCATTGGACCTGAAGGCTCCTTCTGGATCCATCCTGATCTTGCCAGGAAGACCGTAGTGCAAGATCCAAGTGCTCTCAAGGCCATGGATGACCTCATCACTTGTCGCATTCCGCGACTCAGCTGCCGGATGCTCGTAGAGGTAGTGGCAGCACATCAGCCTTGAAGCCTCGTCCACCATCACCATCATGTGGTAGGTGATGTCGGACACAGTGAACTCCATGTTGTCAATCACCAATGTCTCCCATAGAGTTTCTGATTTCTCCAGGGAAGATGCTGGATGTAGAGGTGCGGCACGTAGTTCCTGACATTCAGGGCAAATGTGCTTGCTTGCAAGTTGGATGACCTCTGGGTGAGCACCTCGATGTCGTAGGCATGAGCTCAAAGCAGCATTGGATGGGTGACCTGTCTTTTTGCGCAAACGTTCAAGCATATGAAGGACACCACGCTTCTCCTTCTCGTTCAGGGGCTCATATGGATGTTCTTGGGTTTCTCTGGCTCCATGTCACCTGTGCCAAAAACAGGATAGGCGCAGGCTGGGATCACACCATTGGCTTCAGCTATATTCATCTCTTTGACGGCCTTGAAGATCACATCGCACAAAGCCGAAGGGTAGAAGCCTGAGTTGCGAGCCACTGAACCTCCAATGCATTCCTGGTGATGTGGATGAACTGCCGTGCCAGGACATGTTCGTGAAACTGCTCGAGCCACCACCTTGGAGGTCGTTTTGATCAACCAGGGCTTTCTGATGGGAAGACCTGACTTCTCTTCTCTCAAGCCAAAGGCGCATCCATTGGCGTGTCCACAATGAAGATCACCTGTCTGTTCAAGCCGGCTCCAAAGTTGGCGAACCAGCTGAAGATTCCATCCTCGATTGTTCGAGGGCCACTCCCAAGCCACATCACGGCCTTGTTGAAGTTGATGAGTGGCGATATCAAGACCATTCTTGATCATCTTCTTTGCCTTTTGCTTCCTCTCCATGCTTTTGGCTTTGGCCAAGTCATCTTTCTCGTTGAAGAGCTCCTGGATGGGAGAGAAAGGTCCGCAGGGCAAAGAAAACCATGTCAGCTTTGGCTTCCATCGAGTGATCATGTTCTTGATCTCTTGAACTCCCTTGGAGGTGGCGATGTTGTCTGAGTCAGTCTCGAGTCAGGGGGGCAGCAGATCTCCATGAGGTCAATGCCATCTTCCGGAGGAAGGATGTCTTGCCATGCCGAATGAGCTTCTTCCATGAACTCCTCCGCACATAGGCATAGCTGCGTCCGCTGGCTATCAGTCAGGAAGCCACATCGACCATTCTGGTACTTCTCATCGTCCTGAATCGGGTTCTCGAGGGGTTCGATGATCGGCTTCATGACATTCTCCGGGATGAAGTCATCTACACCTTGTCGGGAGATGCCTGCTCGGGCGAATCCGGCTCCTTCACCACCAGGGACCATTCCTCGTGCTCTGGAGTCTGGTCGTTCTCCCTCTTGGCGGACTTCTTCTGCTCTGCTGTCACCTGAGCTCCCTTTTGAGCCGAAGAGGCATGGACCGATGGCATCTCGGCGTCCTTCGCTGCACCTGGTCGTTGCCGCGGTGGATTCTTCTTCTTGGACTCTTCGATCTCCTTCAAGCGGCGATGCAACGAATCCTCGGCTCCCTTGTAGCCCACCGACTTGGCATTGAGCTGCATGGGATCCTCCTTGATCTTCTGGGGTTCGAGCTGCTCGATGGTCGTGGTGACATCCGCAGGCAGTGGACCTGCCTGTCTGCGCAGCGCTGTCGCTCCGAAAGCCGGGGTGTAGGAAATCCTCAGCCTGCAGTTCTCGCAGCATGTCCACATTCCAAACTTGTTTCGTCCCGTCAGGGACCCTCTCCCGGGTGCCATCGGGACATGGTTGCCAAAGCACGGATATCCCTGACTCCTTGGATCGTCGGCGGGAGGACCAGTAGTTCTGGTCAGGTCGTACTTCTCTGGAGTCGGGGTTCTGTCCTTTCGGGACTTCCGCTGAGGCTTGGAACTTGTAGTCGAAGTCGTCGAACGGCTTGCTGGCGTCCCAGTGCTTGGAGCTGACTCCAATTCCTCCTTCGTAGGGATGCGACCCTGAGTGGCCATAGCCATGAAGCGCAGGGTGGAGAGCACAGGTAGCTGCAGCAAGCGTAGTCAAAGCTGTCGCCACAGATGGCATGCTTGAGCCTGTGGCATTCGGTGTTAGTTGGTGATGTTGTGAAACATGTTTGCTCTGTTGAAAGTTGCGGCCTCGACCCGATCGGACACGATGAAAAGCTCTCAAAAACATGACTGTCACACAGTTCAGAATGCTCTTGACCGTGGGAAGGTGCACGAACAAAATCATGTGGTTCCAAATCATGAGCATGAGGGACATGAAGACATGTGCTGCAGGATCGCTCCATGTATGCTCCGGCGGTTGTGGATGCACTGTTTGGCATAGGGTGATACCAGTCACAAGTCATGTCCAGCAGCAAGTGTTCATTCGAACTCTGCTTCAGCTGAATCCATTCTTCTGAGAACTTTCGAAGCTGCATCATGTTGCGCTCTGTATCGATGACAGCTCCCATGCGTCGCAAAGTGCGAACGCTCAACAACAAAGGAACTCCAGGGGCATCAATTGCATGCACACCTAAAGCAACTTTCGTTCCCCCAATCACTTGGGGAAGCTCAACAAATGAGGCGGCTCTCTGAGTGCCACCATTGCCGAATTTGAACTTCTTGGTCTCCTCCTTCACGACCACTTCTTCTTCTCCAAACTTGATCAACCGTAGGTTCATGATCTCCTGTAGGGCGTCTAATGACGTGAGGGATTCTGTCGCTCCCAAGTCAATCACTGCATGGCCAGGGTATTCGACGGCCACTGCAGCCAATGATGAGGCTGTGTCCTCACCATCTGCTGTCAGCACGGTGGTCTCATTGTCATCCACTGAGAGGATCACAAAGACCTGGTTCTGGAAGTAGTTTGGCCTTGCCGATGAAGATGTTCCTGAATCCCCATTTCGGCGAGGGCACGAGCGAAAGTCATGCTCCTTTGAACCGCAGATGAAGCATCCGCGATATTCAGGGTTCCCAGGGCGTTGAGTGCCCGAAGAACCTTTGCCCTTCTGAAAGCTGGCAAGTGCAGTCGAGGTGGATGATGGCGGTGAACCAAAAGAACCTTTGGGTTTCCCCTTTTTGCCCTTCCCTTTGGACTTGCCCTTGAACATGGAGAGGGGTAGTAACCACGTGAATGCTGCTTAGCATAGTTCAACTTCCGACTATCGCGAAATGATCTCATCTTTTCTTGGAAGGCGGCATAAACAGCAAAAATGTTCTCTGAATCATCGGGGTTGGAGTGTGCCATGTCTTCTGCATCCAACCACTCTTTGTACTCAGTCCATGACCAAAAGGCTCCGGCCATGTCCTGAGCATAGAAGTCATCCTCCTGCCAGGTCCAAGTCAGCTCTTGGCCATCGGGTGACCATGAAGTCCAGGCTGTAGCAGGTTCCTCCCATGAAGGATAGACCTCAGGAGGCAAACGATCGCCGACCCAGTAGATCGAAGCTTCTTCGACCTCATCCATGTCGGGTTCGTTCAGGAGGCCCCATTCAGAGTCCTGCTCGACCCAAAAGGAACGTCGAGGTCGAGCGAGATGAGGTGCACGATGATGTTCAGCCATCAGCAACTCCTCCTCTTGATCTCTCATTGCTCGCTCCATGGTTTCCAGATCGAGCTTGTTGTTGATGGCGCTCAGCACCGAAAGCCGGGCGGCAGCAGGCAAACCACTGCGGCGCAGCAGCAACCAACCCAACAACTCTTGGGGGAGAATTTGAACCTCATCAAACTCAAACTGTTCCCATTTCACCTCTTCTTCTTCAGGCCAAGGGGCAATGGAAGAGCTATCTTCCCACCATGACCAGCGATTGCGTTGCCAGTCCCGCCATTCGGCGGCAGTCCACCTTTGGTCATCATCCTGGGGGACCTCAGCATAATCACTACGCCGAGGGGCATCGGGCTCGAAAGGTTCCTGCGGATCGTCTCCAGCTCTACCGGGGTTGGAGGTCACTTCAACATCCGGAAAGGTGGCGAAGGTCTCATGACGGGCCTGTGGTGTGGTGCGATCCGAGCGTCGTTCACGACTAGGGGTCGTCAATGGAGTGGTATGTCCAACAGGTGCAGTCTCCTTCACTGAGGAGGTTGGCTGTGATTGCTGTCTCTGGCGAGCCATAGCTCGTTGAAGGCGTCTGTATGATTCCCTCAACGAAGTTGCCCATTCTGTCATGGAAGTTCCTGGTTGGCGCCTCAACTTCATGAAAAACTCTTCAAGTCGTTGGCCAACGTCCGGAACTGGTGTCTTGCACAGGCGCTCCTCCAGGAATGACAACAAGTAAGATGCTCCATTCGACTGCTGTAGCTTGGAGTGGTCGATCTCTGCCGATGCAACATCCCAAGCTTTGCCTGTCAACCGACTAGCCAACTCTGCTCCCAACAAACAACGCTTCTTGGGCTCCGTCCTCTCGTATTGCAACCTAACTCTCTTCACATAGTCAAGCCACAATGTTGCATCACCGTTCCATGTAGCAATGTGTTCCTTGCGCTCCACTGATGTCATGCTCCTGCAACAAACGAATTCCGGCTGCCCCAACCACTAGGGCGGGCCGCGAAGGCCAGATCGCTGTCCAATCCCAACAATGCCTAAGGCAATCCAAGATCAACAGCAAAGACCACCAACCCAGTAGGGAGCCCTGGAGTTCAGGGCTCCGCTACCAGTATTGGTAGCTGGCAGGCTCAAGTGCAATGCTCAAGCAAAAGAGGCTGTCAACAACAATGTTCAAAACCTGTATGAACCGGTGGTCAACCAAGACCAACACAACGAGGGTCCAAAACCCTGCCAAGTCGGATGCAAACCGATGCAACCTTTTCACTCACCTCGTAGCTCCATGGCGCGTTAAGCGCATTCAAGGCAAAAGGACGTCCTGGGATTTGGGCCCATGCGATCCGTCGGTGGTCAATCATTCAAAGACCTGAGGTGACATCAAGTGGCTGTACCTGTCATGTTCGTCTTCCAAGAAGGTGCTAATGTTCCAGCACCACCTAATTTGTTTGTTTGGATGGATGTTGATGTTGAATTGGATGGCAAACACATTGTCAGCGCCCTGCCTTTGGGTTGTGCTATGAAATGATGCTGTTTTCAAAACAGCTCAGCAACCACAACCACAACCACGCCGAAGACCACAACAACGACAACAAAAACAAGTGGCGAATCTCGTCGACCTATACTCTTGGAACTGCGACCGGTTGTAGACTTCTTTTGAGGAGCTTCGCCCCAAAAAAACAATCTCATTTGCAAGAAACACCGGAATGCCATGTCATCTGCATTTTTCCAGCAACCCCACTCCCTTTTCCGTCGGGAAAGAAAATTCATGCAGATCTTCGCTTGGCTCCCCCACCGATCGCTAATCCGTTCAAAGATCAACTTCGCCTGGACGCGTGCGTCGCGGAAGCCCATAAGGGGGTGACTGGTGGCCCAAGAGTTGAATGCCTTTGAAAGCCACGTCAAAGAAGCCAAAGAAGCCTAATTTGCACTGCCTGCATGGTTCCATTTGTATCCATTTGTCTTGAGGACATCGGACATCTGTATGTCAGTTATTATACGCCTTTGCCCTTGGGGTTGGAGTGGCGCTCCTCTGGCAATCATCACATACCCTTCAACATCCAATCAGTGTTCAATGGATGGTGAGGTGGCCCATTCACCTCCTCCGCAGGCATCTTCCGCTTCCGGTCAGTGCCAGTGGCCTGATCACGGCCGCCCCGGTCAGGGCGGAACCCGGGGGCGTCCCGACGGCGGAGCGCCGACGGCGGAGCGGGCGTTTCAGAGAAGATCAAACGCCCTGGTTTTCACTGTGGCGTTTGGGTGCCTTTACCAATCATTCTCGTTTGCTCAAGATGTCAGCATGGAAAGACACATCCTTTCGGGGTCTTGCCATGCACTTCTGATTTCACACATGTAATATACTACTCCAAAACTGGAGCTCTTGGGCAGCGAGGCCCCGTGGGTGCTGGGAAGCCCGGCCCAAAGTCTGTCGATGGACCGATGGCGGCCAATGATCAGTGGAACCCTTGGAATCTCTTCCGAACTTACCGTACCTGACTATCTGAAAAATGGGTTGGTCTATGGGTCGGTGGGTTTGTGATGTAGTCTGTCTCTCTCTCTCTCTCTCCCTACAACTGACTGGGAATGAGCAATGAGCATGGTGTGTCTTCCCCTTGTGTGAACGAGGGTGCATGAACAGATCCCAGGGGCTTTGAGTTGCCAGCCAAACAGCCTTTAACCTTGTACCACCACTGCACCATTGATCATATTCATCATGAGTTCATCTTCCAAACCGCCTGGTGTTCGCCGGTGTTCAGTTGAAACAAAGAAGGAAGACCGCTCCACAACAGAAGGACCCGCATTCCCGTAACAAGGCTGCTTTGGCTTCCTAAATCTATTTTCGGGCCGTCCTCCACCTCCCGTTGCCCTTGAAGAACCTTGATTCTTCCCTACAGAACTTGTTGTTTCATTACTGATTGTGTTGACATGCCCCGTGTCCAACCTCCATTTCCTTACATCCAAGAGTCGCTCGGTACCGCATCCCATATTGCTCACCCGTGACCGCGAACGACCGCTCGCCTGTTCGCCCTCGATCTCGGGAAAGGACTGGTAAAGCTCCTGCGCAGGACTGGACTCGGAGCTGGTTAGGTACAAACTAGATCAAGGGAAGTCCAATGGACTACTCCACACTACCTATAGGCTTCCAGGGGTCCAGTAGACCACGAACTGGGACAAACTCTCCATAGCTCCGGATGCCAACTGCGTGCATCTTTTTTGGTGTACAAACTCTCCGCCCAGCAGCCCAGCATCACTGATGGTTGAAATGAGGAGCCCAGAAGTGGCCCGTTTTTAACAACGATAGATGAAGATGTTCAGGTTCCTTAAACCTCACAAGCGGGTTTTAAACTAACATTTACTGTAATATATGTTTGTATATTACTAGTATCGGCTGCGGTTTGTCCTTTTTATCAAGTCCATGATGCGCGACATTCTGGCGTTGGACAAGACAGCCTCACCTCTGTACATGCTGTGCTTCCACACAGCTCCAAACAAATTCCCACCTCCACGTCGCAGAGCGCGACGCGTGACCTCAACAACACATGCACACGAGCCGTCGCATGCGAGGTCAGGCCCTCAGCCATCAGCGGCTGACTGTACAGCTCTCAGGTACGGCCTTCATCGGCATGGCAAGCAGCTGAAGCGATAGCAACGATACGCGTAGCTGAGGCCTCCACCGATCCCCGTCGCCATGGCGGGGACGTATCCCCCCAGATCGCATTTCCTGCCGCATCGGCAGTAGAGCGCCGTGCTGGTCGCGTCGTGTGGGCCGGTGGCGTCCCACAGGTCGTGGGGGCCCACGAAGCTTGCAAAGCTGGTGTCCGCGGGATGGTCCACAGGTGTTTCACCATGGTGACCCTGGTGGGCACTTCCTCTCAAACGCTTCCCTGGACTTCCCGGACAAGGAGTACACTCACAGGACTGGCCCATGAACATCGACAACATGGGCCAAGAGGAGTTCGCACAAGTGACACCGCAGCTGCAAAAGACCCAGTTGGTCCACCCAGAAGCGATCTGATTGCTCGTTGCATTTGACACGGTCACGTTGGCACCTGCTGCTTCACTCGCACCCACCAGCACGGGCAAGAGCACCAAAGACCATGCTCGGTTCAGGCTCATTGCAAGACAAAAACAAAAAGCACCTGAGTGGGACAAGGCTCAGCTTGGCACTTGAGTCCAAATGGGCTGCAACGAGGCTCTGTCTCTGGTGGCTTCATGTGTGAACCCAACCCCACATGCCAATTTGAAATATCCTGCTGTTGAAGAGTGACAAGTTGAACAAACAAAAATAGTAGTAATCGTCTACCTACCTGGGGTGAGCAGGGGTGCAGGCAGTTAGTTACCTATGAACTGGAATGCCAACTGCGTGCATCTTTTTGGTGTACAAACTCTCCGCCCAGCAGCCCAGCATCACTGATGGTTGAAATGAGGAGCCCAGAAGTGGCCAAGTGGAGCCCAGAAGTGGCCCGTTTTTAACAACGATAGATGAAGATTGTCATGCGCCTGGCCTTCTCCAATGATTGTATCTATTTACTGTAATATAGTTTAATATATTACTAGTATCGGTTGCGGTTTGTCCTTTTTATCAAGTCCATGATGCGCGACATTCTGGCGTTGGACAAGACAGCCTCACCTCTGTACATGCTGTGCTTCCACACAGCTCCAAACAAATTCCCACCTCCACGTCGCAGAGCGCGACATGTGACCTCAACAACACATGCGCACGAGCCGTCGCATGCGAGGTCAGGCCCTCAGCCATCAGCGGCTGACTGTACAGCTCTCAGGTACGGCCTTCATCGGCATGGCAAGCAGCTGAAGCGATAGCAACGATACGCGTAGCCGAGGCCTCCACCGATCCCCGTCGCCATGGCGGGGACGTATCCCCCCAGATCGCATTTCCTGCCGCATCGGCAGTAGAGCGCCGTGCTGGTCGCGTCGTGTGGGCCGGTGGCGTCCCACAGGTCGTGGGGGCCCACGAAGCTTGCAAAGCTGGTGTCCGCGGGGGGGTCCACAGGTGTTTCACCATGGTGACCCTGGTGGCTTGCACTGCCTCTCAAACGCTTCCCTGGACTTCCTCGACAAGGAGTACATTCACAGGACTGGCCCATGAACATCGACAACATGGGCCAAGAGGAGTTCTGCGCACAAGTGACACCGCAGCTGCAAAAGACCCAGTTGGTCCACCCAGAAGCGATCTGATTGCTCGTTGCATTTGACACGGTCACGTTGGCACCTGCTGCTTCACTCGCACCCACCAGCACGGGCAAGAGCACCAAAGACCATGCTCGGTTCAGGCTCATTGCAAGACAAAAACAAAAAGCACCTGAGTGGGACAAGGCTCAGCTTGGCACTTGAGTCCAAATGGGCTGCAACGAGGCTCTGTCTCTGGTGGCTTCATGTGTGAACCCAACCCCACATGCCAATTTGAAATATCCTGCTGTTGAAGAGTGACAAGTTGAACAACCAAAAATAGTGGGAATCGTCTACCTACCTGGGGTGAGCAGGGGTGCAGTTTCCTAACCCAATCATGTATGCCCCCCTATGTTCAACATCACCCCCCTCCCTGTGCAGTCCCAAAATACCTTTCCAGTAGTTAGCTCGATCTATACAAATGCAAACCGTTGATGGACCCATCCAATACATCAACAACCAAACAAAACGACCGCGTATCTCATCCACCGCAGAACCCTGAAACCACCGTTCCGTTAGACGCACCGAAGGACGGATCGTTCCGGACGTCCGGACGCCGCCACCGCGCCGTGGAGTCAATGAAGTACCGCGGCTGCACGTGCCTCACTGGAGCGAGGGCTGCGCAAGCTGCGCGGTAGCTGTTTCTCCCCAAGCGGCGCTACCAAAAATGCCTACAACCACCTCACGGTCCTTCAAGCTCGACTCCAACCCCTCTAATTGCCTTATCTGGGCCGCTCATTTCATCTTGTGCTTCTTCCTCAAGCTCCCGATCCAAACTCATGGTGCATGCAGCGCATGCAGCCCATTTGCCCCGCTCCACCCCGTCTGAAGCTCCCGGACCCGCAACCACCCCTCAACTGCACGCCGTCACCTGGTGCTGTCGGTGTCACCAGTCTCGGATCCGCTGTGGTGTCGGGGTTCCGCCCCAGCTCTGGCTCTGAGGTTTCAGTCTATACAAGAACTGCAAGATGATGAACGATCTCTCCTCTTTCGCAGGATCTTTCCATCTGAACCTCCAGAGACATCCAGATCTCTAATGTTGGGATGGTCCAGAAAAAGAAAAAAGACTCCGAAGCAGACTCTTTAGGCAACTCCTGTGTGGGTGCTTGGTCCCAAAAACTTGAGTCATGACTTGACTCAGGATTTCGCAGCCAGGACCTTCGCATCAGGGGGTTCGACGGTCTCTTTCAACAGAGAATAGGGAGTGTTCATGGTTGGCTCCGGGGAGCCGCCTGGGTGAACCAGTTCACTCGATGGAAATCCGCCACATCCGCCACATCCACCCACCCCAAACGAAGCCTTCGGGGTCTTCGACCTGCCAATGATGCAAGTTGTTCGCCCTAGTGACAGGCATCGTCTATATTTATATAGAAGAATATGTGTATAATTATATAGAATATGAGTATTATATATATATAGAGAGAGAGAGAATGTGTGTATGTATATGTATTGGAGGTTCTCCTCTCACCCATTGCCCTCGCAGGTTAGCCTATCCCATGCCACCTAGGCCCAAAACTGCAAGGGAGAGAACAATTTGCCCACCGCGATTGAACCGCCAAAACCCTGAGATTCCTGGGCCCCCATGGGGGGTTCTGGATTCTCTGCCCAGCCACGGCAGACTGCTGCGCGCGCCTCATCCCCGCGACACCCCCGGGGATGAACGGATCACGTTTGTAAGGTTCCCACTCAGAGCCCATACCCACAGAGCACGGCCCCTCGTAGAGTCTATTACCACCACGTGGCTCTTCGGTGGACCAAGAGAGGTACAATTGCACTGGAGGCTCTTCTGCCCGCTGGAACCAGCCTCCCTGATGTCCATCTGCCCCCCCCCCCCGCCCAGTCCGAGTCCGGGGGTGAGCCGCATTCACCAACAACTGCAGTTGATCGAGTCTGGTCTAAACTCCGTTAGCTGCAGCAAAACAACGAACATCAAAAATGCACAAAACAGCCAAAACAAACAAGATCCACCCTCTGAAATCTCCACACTAGGGCACTTCGCGAGTGTAAGCACATCCAGACCTCCTCTTTGACGTTGCACACACGCTTGGCACGGCAGCACACCATTACTGCCTAGCAGCGGTCTGTGGGGTCAAGGGCTTGTGACGTCAGTGGAGGTTCATCAGCCTTGCTTCATCAAACAATTTCAGGGTACCCGAGCAATTGCTTCGGGCGACCGTGCGGGTGGTTCGTCGTGCGTCCCGCCCTGCCTGGAGCCGCTTCTTGCGGCTCTTGATGTCCATTGCGTTCTTCATCTTCAGATCCTAGAGCTTTTTATTGGAGATGGCACGCGTTGTAAGGTGATGGACCCGGCGGGAGATGATGGGATGGATGAATAAGACACAACCGCAAGGCTCTCTCTCTCTCCCTCTCTCTCCCTCCCTCCCTCTCCCTCCCTCTCCTCCCCCCCAAACACCTGCTCCGCAAATCTACACTCATGCAGCCCCTACATCTCAATCTTCAAACACTCCAAACTCCAAACCCACATCTGTAGACATCTGCAGAACATCCGCGCGCCAGGCACCTGGGGATCTGCTAAGAGCTTCGAGCAGTTGTAGCCTTGGCTCCGCAGTTGTGCACCCCAAAACCGACAGAGGCGTCCAACAATCGAGGTGAAGGTCTTGTTCGGCTAGTTGTGTTATATGACGTGTTGAGAGACGCCCGATCTGCTTTCAACACCGGTGATGGCTTCATGAATGCCCGGATGTGGAAGAAGATTGTGCGACCTAAGCCATCAAGTCAACTGCTGCCTTCCATCCCAAGATCAAAGATTGCTTGCTTTCCAGGGGTCAACCACACGACCAATCGGATTCGTGGCTAAAAAATTCTCCCAAGTTCCGGAGCGAGGCAAGCTCGGACCTCTGTGGACCCTGCCTTCCCCGATCTTCCCTACCTCCCCATGTCGCCTATGTCTGTCTAAAAGCTTCCCTTCACCTGCTCATTCTGGCACCAACGGATTGTCCCTTCAGCGGAGTCCATTCTTCAGAAAGCACGACGAGTCACTCGAGGTCGTTATCGACCTCCACAAAGCAGACCCTCGTGGCAAAACACTTGTGTCCCCAGCCAGTCCAACCACCGCATTCCTTCACACAGCCCATTTTCCACCCCATTCTCCCCGTTCGGTACCTGCTGCTCCGGGCCACACACCGCACGCAGCACATTGTGGGTTGCTTTCATGAAGCCCCAGTGGTACCTGGGTGGCGTATGCTGCTGGATCGCGCAGGACCTATGGCACCTATTCCGCTGAGTGCATCGGACAGCCCAGGGAGGATTGCAATCCTCGCAATAACAAGTCAGACATCTCCCAAGAACAAGTCGAAGGAAGCCTTTTCCAAGCCATGAAATCATCGTCCATCCTTTCCCCATCTCCAAAACCTCCAAACCACTCAGCCCCACTCCGCCGCCCCCCCTCCGCTGCTTCCACTCCGCAGAGTCCGGGGGTCCTGCCGGGGGTCCGGTCCCGGGCGCCCCGGGCATCGGCTTCGCCAGCGTGATGTGGCCCCAGTGGCCCGGGCACGTCTTGACGCCTCCGGCCAGCTCGGAAGCGTCACCGCCCAAGGCGGTGGTTTAGAGGTTTGGTCAGAGGGATCAGGGGATTGGACAGAGCCTGACAAAAAGAACCTGCACAAAAAAAACGTCCCTGGATTTTTCAGGCTTGTCATTCCTTCCATTCGTCATCCCTCTCATCTCATCTCAACGTCTCACCACCAAAAGCAATCGACCCGCAACTGCTCGAACACCGCGCGAACACCCGGCACGCCCGCGTTTTGTCGGGAACCGCACGTTCTTCGCAGGTATGGCAGTTGCTGCGTACGTCGATGGGCCCTAAGCGGGGGTCGTTCACGCCACCCTCGACCTGGGCGAAACAACGGTCTCCAAACCCTGTCCTGGGCGAAACCTGGTCATTTCATGTCATTTCGTCTCAACGCTGGCGTCCAAGGACGCCTATGCTGACATGCACGGGGCCTTTCTGGGGGTGTGGGCTCAGAACGGGCCTCTACTGACCGACAAAACACACATCTCGTTGATGGATGTTGATGGGGGGTCATGCCGGCAGTGAACCAAAACTGTTGGTGACAGTGGTGACCTGTGGTCACCAATGGGTTTTATGATGGAGATGACTTTTGTCACCTGCCCTGGGGGGTCTTCCAATGTAGAAATCCGGCACTACCCAGCCAAAACTGGGGTGCCAAACTGTTAGTCATTTGATGTACTCTGATTCGCTGACATGGAAGTGGAAAATAGGCCCCGAAAGGAAGACCGCTCAAGAACAAGGGGATAGTGAGGATAGTGGGAGAGTACGGACGGGAGAGTCTTGGTTGTTTGGACGCCCCCAATCCATGCATCCCAACGGGGACGCCATCTCTGTAGACCTCCTGTTTGTTGATCTCCGCCACCGAATACCTCCCGTTCATCGAAGGTCGGCCGCCAAAGCAGATGTTGTTTCAAGGATGTTCTGTTTGATAAACTAAACATCAGTACTTGCTCTTTCGTGGGAAGGGTGAAACCACATCTGTGTGTACTTTCTCGGGGTGGAACAAGATCTTGTATCGTGTGATCGGTGCGCGTTCATCTGCAAGAAAAAATCTGGGCCTGTGATGTGCCTGTGTTCTTGGAAGGTGTTGGGACTAGACGATGTATGTAGAAAGTATAATAGCAAGACTGACAATACCCAGTATGTGGAGTTCAGCATTGCTCAATTTGGTCTGGACAACCTCCCGATGACAAAACAGACCAACCCAGACCTAAGCAAAACAAGTTCAGCAAGTCCAGGTACTTACGAAACCAACATTCCCTCAAACCGTCAACAGTATCCCCAACCTTGTCCCCTTGAAGTTCCAGAGTTACAACATGTGACAACTATGTTGAGCGGCTGTCGTTGTTTCTATATACCAACAACAACAACAACAACAACAGCAGCAGCAGCAGCAGCAGCCACAACCACAACCACAACCACAACACACCAAATTATATGACCAATCAACCAACCAACCAACCAACCAACCAACCAACCAACATTCAACCAGCCAACCCACCGACCGACCAACAAACAAACAACACAAAACAAAAGGCGCCCCGAATGACTGTGCCGCACCCCTGCAGGGTGTCGGCGTCAAACATGGTAAAGCGGACAGCCTTCACCTGCGTGGATGGGGGATCGATCGCAGGCCTCGAGACTGAACAGGACCAGATCGGTGCTGGGTGGTGAAATTCATTGGACAGACCGGCGTCTTGGTGCCAGCCTTGATCTTGATCCTACCGCAGGTCTCGGAATTGGCTGACGAAACCGATCTGGGTGATGAAATTCGGGTTTCATCACGCCTTGATCACCGGAGAATTCCAACATAAAGGCATTGTCGCATTGGAGGTGCTTCCAGACAGCCAAACACCCATTCCCAAGACCTCGGTCGCGGCTGTGA